AGGGAGAGAACCCAAACTGTGGGGTTGGGGGTACATCTCTACTGTAGGCTGCCTCAGAGTAACACACCCTCAAGGTCATGTACTTTGGAGGATATAGGCATTGGAAAACAATGTGGACCAATGGGAGGCCTGGATGGGCTTGTCTTGAGTGAAGACAAAAGATTACCTGGACGAATCAGGGGTCCCAGGAGGTGTGACACCAGGAGGAGTAAAACCTAGGTGTGACCAATGAAGTCCCAGAGGGGCAGAGTCTGGATTCACAGTAGTGTTGATTAGATCAGCCAGGTGCTAGATGGCTGGGCTGGGAGTGTCCAGGCGTTCCCAGGTAAGGGACAGAAGACTAGCTATATCTTGATGGGATTTATCAATGGTAAAACAATGTCACTTTGGGAACGTGGTGATGAGTTCCCAGGTCTGGACAAAGGGAACTGGAGGTTTCTTCTACATGCAAAGTAGTAGTTCAGGTTTGGTTCCTTTTGCAGCTCTGGTGGTAGAAGGTTATGTGATTGTCCATTTGAACTAATCAAAAGAAAACAATACTGCTTGATAAGCCACATGGTCTTGGGGTGTGGGAAGGGGTAAGAAGCAAGACTTGTCATTGTCAAGGAAATGTGAGAAGGGAAGATGAGATCAGATTGATAGAATAGCAGTGGAAACTGAAAATAAGTTACTCTGGGGCAGGCAGATTCATTGTCTGGAATATACAGATGTTGGCTTGGGGGGGGAGGTAGTTGCAGCTATCAGGGCAAGATCTCATGTGTTATTGCAGGGTCATATCCTAGGCATAATATTTGTCTGCCAGCCCTGGCCTCCATCTTTGTGTTCACTTATGTCAAGATGCCTGGTATTTGAACTCCTGGGGCACCCTTGTGGGGTCCACTGATGGTTGAAAAGACCTCTCCTGTTGGACAGCACTTGAGGCAAATTAATGTTCAAAAACAGAATAAAGTTTAAACAGGCAGGGAATATATGTATACATGGAATAGTCAAGGTTTTGAGATTGCTGAGGTAAAAAACTTTCTAATATATACAGAGTTGAATTCTTAGAACATTCAAAAGAGTGTATTTGTAGTCTTGTTTCAAGGCTTTCTATTTCTTTCTTTGAGAGGTACTTTGTTTAGTATAATTCAGCGCAAACACAGTTCTTACTGGTGTTTCTAGATTTCTTCCTTCAGATATTACAGGTTTTCCTTTAGCTAATACAGCTTTTCACTAGCTCTTGAGGTGTCTAAGATTCTCCCCTTTATCACAGACCAGGGTTCTCTTCCCAACTCATTTCACTGGCAGGAAGTTATTCTCCTTGTCCCTAAGAAGTGATAACTCCTTTTTGGCTTGAATGGGAGTTCACTCTGACTACCCAGACCTTCTGCCAAACCCTTCCAGTATCCTTTGTCTGTATAAGGTTGTTCTGTAGCTTTCTGACTGAGAATTTAAAGTTCTCCTTCAGAGCAGTTTTAATATATCTAAGACAATGGGGGTTTTATTCTTCTCTTTGTAGAAGTACTTTTCTGACTATTGCCTGTCAGAAAACACTGATTCCCAAATGTCTATTCCCTCAGAAGCAAAACCCTCTGGCTACTGATCCCGACGTTAGTTTTCAAAATACCAAACAACGAAAGACCAAATTGTGAAAGACCCCTTTTCCCTCCAGATCACCTGTTTTATTTTCTCTCTCAGCTAATGCTGGCCAATTAGAGAGCAAGTAGAGCAGCCAATCACATAAGCTCTTGTCTTGAGGGAAGATTAATTCTTGAACTCCCTGACTCTCTGATACAACCAGCACCTTAAGAAGCCTGCTTTTCTGTGCTGTCCGTCACATATATCATGTTGAGTTCCTTGAAAGAAAACAAATACAGGTACACACTGCTTTTTTGTTTTTTAAAAAGGGTGCCAACACTCATAAGGTTGCACTGATTTCTTCCAATTCCCTCCTCAGGCCTTGGGAGAGTGCCCCCAAAGGTACTGGTATTTAGTACCGGTGAGAACTGTCATGAAAAAGCCCTCTGTGTATTCCATATTTATCAGTGAAAAGCATGAAAATAGGTAACAACAACAAAAGACAGCAAGCATAGAAAAAAAGAGGTTAATTTGACAAACTAGGTAAAGAGTCAGTGAGTGTCAAGGCCTACCCTAGCCTGTACAGAACCAAGGAGGGGAAAGAAACAATTTACTGACTAAACGCTGATATTTTCAAAGTAGTTACAACTTCCAGGTAGCTACCGTATGTTGGCTCAAGGAAAAGCCCAGAACCAAATCCATGTAATAACCTTTATTTATTTATTTTATTTTATTTGTGCATTTATATCCCGCCCTCACCACAAGCGGGCTCAGGGCGGCTTACAAAGAGCAACAAGTGCCCACACATAAAATCATATAAAAACAGTAAAAACCAGTAATTATCAACACAAATAAGTGCTCTGTAAAAAACAAGATGGTCACCGAATAAAATTACAAGATGGTATTGGTCTTTCATAAAGGTGGTGTTGTCCTGTAGTTGATGTACAATTAGTTGGTATAAGGCACCACACAGTATCCTGGCAGATCTTCCAGGGACCGTCCCCCCTAGCCCACACCGTTTGTGGTGGTGGCAGTGGTGGCCCCTACGTAAAAGCCTGGTGGAAGAGCGCCATCTTACAGGCCCTGCGGAACTGCAGAAGATCCCGCAGGGCCCTGATCTCCTCCAGGAGCTCATTCCACCAGGTAGGAGCCACCACTGAAAAGGATCTGGCCCTGGTCGCTGCAAGCCTTGCCTCCCTGGGGCCTGGAATCACCAGGCGATGTTGCGTCCCGGACTGAAGTGCTCGTGGGGGTATGTGTGGGGGTATGTGTGGGACCCTGGCCATATAGGGCTTTAAAGGTAAGTACCAGCACTTTGAAACGGATCCAGTATGCTTTATTACACTAAAATGACATAAAACACAGTGGAAGATTTTCAGTAGGGAACCTGTGTGTTCCATTTGGCATTAAATAGATTTGATTCACCACTTACATGTAAATTATCAGTGGAGAGGCTATCATTATCACCGTCTCCTGCCTTTAAGACCAAGTGTTCCTGATACAAACTCTGCCCTACACCTTTCATGTCTGCTTGACTGTCCAAACAACCAACCTCAAGAAAATGGCTTAAGACATTTTTGTTTCTCCCTCTCCCTGCAAAGACTGTGGTGTTTTCTCCTCCAAAGGGAATCAACCCAGATAAGCCCTGCCTTTGGAATGTCTTGCTGCTTGGAGAGGTGAGGAGCAGGTAAACAAACGTTCAATTTATGCTACTCTGAGCTCCTTGAAGGACATGTGAGATAAAAGTCATGCATAAGGGAACCCAGTGGCTGAGCACTATTTAGCTACTGAAAAGCATCCTTCTGTATATGCCCCCCCCTTCACTAACTTTTCTTGGCTTCATTTTAAAAGATCATTCTGATAATACATACTTACTAAAACAAAATGCTAGCGATAACTCTTTAAGCATGGGTGGTTTTGCAAAGACAAATCAGCAATATATGATAGATTTCCCAAGGCCTTATAACTGACAATCACTTTTGAAAATCATTTAAAGCAGTGAATAATACAGCATTTTAATATAAAATGCATGTAACACTTTTTCTGTTACTTTAGATACTGTCACTGATTAAGAGAACAGAGTATACTTGTGTATATGAATACAGATTAATCTAGCCTTGCAAGATCTGTTTATATATAACGTGTCAAGTCTCCTTTACCGTCTCTGACAACACTTTTTAGAGTCTAATTTTAAAAACATAGCTGTCATGTTAATCAAAGATTATGTGACGTTCATCCATGAGAAAGTCTCTGGTTTTAAATGTGTTGCTCGCAAGACAAAGAGCTTTACCATGCAACTTTGCACAAGCAGTCAGTGCGTCATTTAAAATGTGCTGAAATCCTTGCAAAGTAGCTACAGTTTGTTTCTGAGATTAATATTATGGATCTCCATGACTCATGTCTCAGATTATGTACTCTGCTTATCTGTCTGTTTGTTGGTCTTCTGTGCTAGTCTGGCTTCAGAGGACTGGATTGCTGTGTGTGTGTGTGTGTGTGTAGTGCCATCAAGTCACTTCTGACTTATGGCAGCCCGGTGAATTAATGTCCTGGAAAAAGGTCCTATTGTCAGCAGCCTTGCTCAGTCTTGCAAACTGAGGGCTGTGGCTTCCTTTATAGAGATAATCTATTTTATATTGTGCCTTCCTCTTTTCTTGCTGCCTTCAACTTTTCCTAGTATTATTGTCTCCTCCAGCGAGTCTTGTCTTTTCATAATGTGACCAAAGCACAATAGCCTCAGATTAGTCATTTTAGCGTCTAGGGAGAGTTCAGGCTTGATTTGATCAAAACCCCAATTTATTTGTCTTTTTGGCGATCCACGGTATCTGTAAACCTCTCCTCCAACATCACATTTCAAAGGAATCTATTTTGTTCCTGTCAGCTTTCTTCTTCATTGTCCAACTTTCACACCCATACCTAGTAATGGGGAGTACTATGACATGAATTATCTTGGTCACCAAATCTTTACATTTAAGGATCTTTTCTAGTTCTTTCTTGGCTTCCCTTCCCAGTCTCAATCTTCTGATTTCTTGGTTGCAGTCTCCCTTTTGGGGAGCCAAGGAATAGAAAATCTTGAACAACTGCAGTTTCTTTATTGTCAGCCTTAAACTTGTATAATTCCCCAGTAGTCATTACTTTTGTCTTCTTGATGTTCAGCTGTACTCTTGCTTTGGCACTTTCTGCTTTAACCTTCATCAGCAGTCATTTCAAGTCTTCACTGTTTTCTGCCAGTAATGTGATATCGTCTGCTGGATTGCTGCTGGGACACTAACCCTGTATTTTCTGCCTGGGCTAATGGTAGCATCTCTTGGAGTCTGGAAACTGATAGTGTAGTTCTTAGATTCATCAAAATCATTTGCATTCATGCTGAAGACCACAGTAGGTTTGGACTGTATATTTTTCATTAAGATGCTTGTCTTTATAATTTGATTTGCATTTTTTTCTAGGTTAACTGGCAGCAATTGGATTATCTGGTAATTGACATGCCTCCGGGGACAGGAGATGTACAGTTGTCAGTCTCACAGAATATCCCAATTGCAGGTAACCGCAGATTTAGATTTTACTAATGTTTTAAGCAACTGAAAATGAAAAAATGTTCAATAGTATGTTGGAAAAAATGAAAACTTGTAGCTTACAGCCCTCAGTAAATTTCTGCTAATGGGAGGGGGGAGAGTCTTGTGGATTTCTTTTCTCCCTGTGCAGTCCTCCAATTCCCCTCATACACTGTTCCTAGGGGATAGATCAAGGTGGGTAGCCATGCTAGCCTGTCTGTCGCAGTAGAAAAGAGCAAGAGTCCAGTAACACCTTAAAGACTAACAGAATTTGTGGCAGGGCATGAGCTTTTGTGAGTCACTGTTCACTTCTTTAGATACCAAATTGAAGTGAGCAGTGACTCATGAAAACTCATACCCTGCAACAAATTTTGTTAGTCTTTAAGGTGCTACTGGGCTCTAGCTTGTTTCTACTGTTCCTAGGGGGTCCACTGTTTGTAAGGACAAACATTTCAGAAAGCATTTTAGGCTGTATACAGGAGCAATGGATAAAGTCCCATTCCGCTGACACATACCTTTCATTAGTGGAGATTTACTGTGGTGCCAAAGTGACATCTCAGTTCAACAGGTAACTTGTGAAAAAAGTAAGAGCTTGGAATAAAAATATTTATTTTGCACTTGTTAGCCCAAGCCTCCCTTTGCCATGCAAAGAAATTGTATCCTGGGAAGGTTAGGGCCAAAGTTGGCATAGGGCAAGCCTAGCCCTCTCTGTGTGCAAAGCCAACAAACCCAGAGATGTGCTCAGGATCATCTCTCTCTGACTCAGTCAGCCATCAAGCTCCGATACAGCAAGCACGTATCTGTCATCGTGAAAGGACAATACTTTAATTTCACCATCTCAAAGGAATCAGCATACTTGCATTCCAGCTCTAAATCTAACAATCAAACTTTTCCCCTTGATACTGGGACCATCCTGGTCACTGTCTGTTGTCATCATTGTTCCTTGGATAGGCCAGCCATTAATGGAGCCAAGACTCTGCAATTGCCAACGCCTTGCTAACAAAGGCTTCCCTTCCCAAACCTGGACTTCTTTTGTCTAAAGCCCCCTTTTGAGCTATTACTGGCCCTCATGGTCCATTGTGGACCATTTCCCTATTGTGCCCACTGCCCTGAAGGCACAGTTTTCCTATATTTGGGCTCCAAACACAGCCACCTTTGGTTCAGTCTCCTGGGACGCATACTGGCTGGATCCCCCATCTCTCTTGGGTCTTCACATGTGTGCTTGCCGGCCAAACCCATCTTCTCTTCACCATGAACTCTTCTCTTTGGAAGGTAGTATTATCCCATCAGTGCTTCTCCCTCTTTCGTCTCTGATCTCTTAAGATCACTTCAACCCTTTATTTCTTTGCTTGTGTCTGTGTGTGTGTGTGATATTTTTATTAAATTAGCTGAATGTATTAGGGATATTTTCTTAAATAAATTTTGAAAAGATATTTCCTGTCTGTCGTCCGTGCCACTCCGAGAGGGTTCTGACTCTGGTATAGTTGGAAACAATCCTTAGCTTATGCACCTATTAAGAAACAGTCTGTTAGCTAAATTCCTCCATCATAACTTAAACATAGACCTGGCGTGGCAGCTAACACACTCGTCCTTTCTAGTCAGATGTGGCTACCAAAGAGGTTTCTTGAGTCACCTTTCCGTCTGCCTGGCTAGGAGAATGGGAGTTGGTATGTAATGGGGTATAACCAGCAAGACAATAAGGTTTTCTTAATATTGGCCCAAAATCATATAACCATTTAATTTTCTGCAATCTTCTCGATCCAACATACTAGAATATTTCACCAGGTAACATAAGAGGAGTCTAATATTGTTTAAAGAAACGAAGGAATCTTTGTTAATAGAAGGCTTTCAAAAGAGCATCTTCAGAGATTGTGAGAAGGAGGAAGAAGAGTATTTCTGGCTTTTCAATGGGTTAGGGAGGAAAGAAACATGACTACAAGGGGCCTGGACAAAACAAGCCTAGAAAGAGGTGAGAACAGATATGGCAGCTGTTAGTTTATTTTGCATGTGGCTTTGTTGAATTATTATTATTTTATTATTATTTATTAGATTTCTGAATCACCCATCCCTGCTACTGCAGAGCCCTGGGCAATGTACAACAATGAATGAAAACATCAGTATAAAAATAAAATACATTAATACCAGTAGATAAATTAAAACTCCAGATGGTGAACTGATCCCCCCCCCAAGCCATTCTGGACTTCCCAGCCACCTTGTGGGCAGAGGAAGCGGGTGACAAAATGATCTGGAGAGTATTAAAGGGTGCCAGCTAGAGTGGAAACTGTTGCTGTCTTCAACCTGATGGCTGAACATTTCCACCTTACAGGGCCTGTGGAATTGCATAAGATCCTGCAGGGCCATAGTGGTGTTCGGCAGAGAGTTCCACCAGGTTGGGGCCAGGACTGAGAAAGCCCTGACAGAGGACAGCCGGAAATCTTTGGGGCCGGGGACCACCAGTAAATTACTATCCAGAGAGTGTAACACTCTCCCAGGGATATACCAGAGGAGACAGTCCTGCAGATATGTCGGTCCCTGCCCACTCAAGACCTTAAAGGTCAACACTAGGGGTGTGCAAAAAAAAAAAAGCGGGTATTTTTTTGCTTTGGGTAAATCAGACCCGAAAAATATTGGTAAATGCCAAATTTCCTCAGTCCAGTACCGGTAAGGTATTTGGATTGGGGAAATATTTAGTATTTTCGAATATATTTGGGGCTGATTTACACCACTAGAGGGAAAGGAAGCATGTTAAAATGCCTTCTTTCCCGCTGATAACCCCTACGGATTTCCCTGTCAATTTCACTCCAGGCTAATCAGCTGAGAGTGAAATTGACAAGGGAAAGCCTCTCTCTGCCTTCCCTTCTCTAGCTGACATGTCCTAGCTGGAGAAGGGCAGGCAGGGAGCCCAGGCACGTTTAAAATGCCTTTCTTTCCCTTCCCGACCTCGGGGACAGAAAAAAAGGCATTTAGACATGCCCCCCCTACACTCTTCCCCGAGTCTCTCCGCAAAAGCAGAGAGGCTCAGGGAAGAAAGGGGGCATGTGTGCATGCCTGCCTTCCCTTCCCCAGCTGGCGAAAGAGGGCAGGCATGCAGACATGCCTGGGTTCCCCTCCTGATCTTCTCCTGGAGAAGATCAGATGGGGAACTAGGCATGTTTAAAATGCCTTTCTTTCCCTCCCCAATCTCCGTTCCATGGCCAGGGCAAAAGCCCAACTGGAATGGGTCCAATACCGATGTGTCATTCAGGAAACCCTGAAGCTGCTTGGCTACCGCTCTCTCAATTACTTTGCCCAGAAATAATAAATTCGAAACTGAGTGGTAATTTTCAGGATCAGGAGGATACAGAGTTGGCTTTTTTAACAGCGGTAAAGCCACAGCCTCCTTGAGACCTTCTGTATAGACCCCTATTTCCAGGGACAGCTTGACAATAGCCATTAGCAATCCCCATGTCCTCTCATCAGCGGCTTTCACCAACCAAGAGGGATATGGACCCAGGAGGCACATGGTCGGCCTGCCAGCACCCAGGATCCTGTCAGCATCAGCAGAGGAGAGCAGACTGAAGGTATCAAAAATTGAATCCAAAGGTGGCCAAGGGGCCTCCAGTTCACATACTGTGTCAATACTGGTGGGTAGTTCCTGATAGAGTGACAAGACTTTGTCCACAAAGAAGCTTGCAATTGTGCTGGGCATGAGCTAGCAGACGTGATGGAAGCTGAGAAGAAATCCCTCTTCGTTACCTTAACCACCACTTCATAAAATTTCATAAGCATCCTATAAGATGCTCTTGTAGCTTCATCACAAACCCGCCACCAAACTCGCTCAAGTCATCTGAGTTCTCGTTTCATCTTCCTGAGTTCTACAATATACCAAGGGGATGGTCTACAGCAACGATGCAGAGGATGTTGGGGGACAACCTCATTGATGGCTTCAAAGAGACAGGATTTCCAGTCCTATATCAGCTCATCCAATGAGGCACCAGAAAGCATTGGATCCCGCAAAGCATTCTGGAAACCATTTGGATCCATTAGTCTCTGCAGGTGAGCATAAATTTGCTCGCCACCTAGATCACGGGGAGGGCAGAAACACCCAGCAGGGCATTCAGGACTGCATGGTCTGACCATGGCACTTCCTCTTTTGAAGTCAAATCTACATCCATCCCCATGTCAAAGATCAAATCCAGTGTGGATTAGACATCCCCATGTCAAAGATCAAATCCAGTGTGGATTAGAGACTGATGTGTGTCCCCCGCGTGGATTTTTGCATGAGCTGCTTTGTGTGGAGTTTGCTTTTTGTGGTAGATTCTCAGGTTTGACATTACAGTTGATTCTTGGTTTGTATATTGCTCTGATTCTCTGATTTCCATTTATTGGGCTTGCACAGCAGTCCTGTTCTGTTTGGCTTGGACAAATGACTGGTTTGACATTGGGTTGGATTCTTAGGTCTTGCATTTGATGTATTAGGCTTGCCACATTGTCCTGCAATTTTGCTGGGATTCCCTGGTTCTGCACTTGACTTTGATTATTCTGTTGGCTTTGAGAGGCTTTTGGCCAGCGGTTGTTTTGCTAGCAATTGCGTCTTTTGCTATTCTTTGCCCTGGAGAAAGCATAGAACCCCCCCATAGCAAACAATGGAGGATGGCGGGGGGAACCTTGTTCAGGGGCCATAGAATTGAACCTATTGGTCTAATTCACTTGAAATATCAGGATTATTTAAAGGACAGGCGGCAGCGGCGGCAGCTCCACTGCAATTTTGGTGCAATTTGTTCCAAAAACAGCCCTATGGAAAGATTTCCCATAAGGAACAATAGAGGCTAATAAAACCGGAGCCTTTGGAAAAAACTTTGATCCGAATACCAAACCAGTATTTGGAACCTGGAAATACCAATATTTTTTGGCTCCCTGATATCTGTTTTTTTTCAAGCCGCACATCCCTATTCAGGAGGATGCCAGCATTCACAGTTTCATGTCTCATGTAAGGTATTATGTATAAGC